ATCGAGACCAAGATACCTGTATTGCATCGAGTTGATTGGCTATGAAGCTCGGGACGACAGAGAAAAAGAAAGAACTCGTGTCCACCTTAGCATGTCTGCGGATGCTCTAATGAATGCGGTAGGGTTGGCCAGATTCTTGCCAGCAAGCGTGGTGCCGGTGTTTCTCGTTCCCTGAACTCTTGAACGGTTAAAAGCGTCGAAAGCGAGACATGAAAAGCATAAAAAGGCGAGCAAAAAATTGAATCATGCGAAACTTCAAACAATTTGGATACTCTTCAAGAACTCACAGTTTCGAAGACGGCATATTCATCACCAATATTCATCCCCGAGACTAGTCCAGGCCCTCCAACAAGACCGCATGCTATATTGGATATGATGTTACCGTATAAATTCGGCATCAACATGATGTCGAACTGTTGCGGTCGAGAAACCTGAAGTTCTGGAGTGCTGAAGATAAGAATGGTGTGAAGATTGAATATGATGCAAACTAGGTTAGAAAGACACACTTAAGTTAAAAATATTACATTTGATAGTTGCAAGAGATTATGCCACCAAAATTCATCCTAAAATGTAAGTAAAACAGAAAAAGCATGAAGAAATGTTCAAACCTTGGATTTCCCCAAAAACCTAAACAACAAACAATTTCACACTTTGAAAAAGAGTGAATCAACGTTGACTCTAATTAATTTCAACTTTAAATGTATGGAGATAGTATGCAACTTGTAGACAAAACTAGTCGGTCACGCTGATTCAAATGGCATAACCAAGTCATTGTATTTGAACAGTCGGCTCTCAAACTCTCCTAAATCATATACGTTTGCTTGTACCTCATTGTAACACTCGCTTTTTCCGGAGTTATGGTAAAATCAGAGGATCAAAGAGCATGGGAATAAAACTACATAAATTGGCTGAGAAACTACGAATGGAGCAAGTTCTTAAATGTAACTGTATTCATTAGATTACAGTATTTGTTAGGAAAGTACACTACGCCATTTCTCAGGACGTTCCGAGAGCGTGACAGTCTAAGGCACAGCTTCGATACCTCTAGGACGAAGGCAGTAAATGTTTGCTGAGGTCAATGTGTTTGCTAAATTTTATGCAAAAGTGGTCAGCAAAATCCAAACAGTCAAGCAAATTCAATAATGTAGTCAACGTAAACTACAAAATTTCCAACATGTTGAT